CCAACCGGGGGGGAACCGGCCCGGTCGACCGGCCGGTAGGACCGGTCCGGTTCCGGTTGGGGGAGGGCCCCCTGGTCCTACCGGGTTTTTAGCACTGAAAAAAAGAAAAAAAAGAAGAAGAAGCCAAACCTGAGGACATCACACACTTCCCCACATCTCAGTGGGTGGGGGGGTGGATGTTCCTTCCTCGCCATGCGAAACCAGCAAATAAGTTGAAATAACAAAATTGAAAATGGACAGAAGGGCCCGTGTTTGACTTGTGGATAAAGCTCAGATCCCCTCAATAATGAAAGGGCGGGGGGAGCGGAAAGGGGGAAGGGGGAAGGGGGAAGGGGGAAGGGGCGGGCAGTAGGTGTTGTAACATTTTTTGCAGCTGCATTCATGCATCTTTCATAACTTCCATTTGGTCGACAAAGGAATGGAAAATTAAAAAAATAAAAAAAATCACGAACAACGGAATCAGCAGTTTATTTTGTTCGGTCGACAAAAGAATGGGAATGTTCCTAGCAGAAGCAAATGAAAAAAAAAAAAAAAAAAAAAAAAAGACAACAAACACCAGAACCTGCGGTTTAGTTTGCCGGCTGGGTGGGTTGGAACGTGGATAGGATTCGAACACTCGGGCCCGTATTTCAACACCAGTTCCAAGCTCCAACCCATCCGAGTTCCAAGTTCCAAGTTCCAATCTATCCGAGTTCCAAGTTCAAACCTATCCGAGTTCCAAGTTCCAAGTTCCAAGTTCCAACCCAACGGTATTCGTAATTTGGTCCGCCGGCTGGGTAAGGGTGGTGGAACTTGGAAAGAATTTGAAGTCGAATACTTGGGTCCGTATTTCAACACCACTGTTCATCTCCTATCTGAGTGACAAACCCACCCAGAGTGCGAAATCTAGGTTTGGTTCGCCAGCGGAGGATGAGATAGATGACATAGACAAGTACAAAGATAGATTAAGAGAAGAATATAATTATTAATTTTAAAAATTTATTAAATTAATAAACTATTAATTTATTAAATTATTATAATATAGTTTTTTTTTTTTTTTTTTTTTTTTAAATAAAGAACTTGGATAGGTTTAGAACGAAGTCCGGTGTCTATTTCAATGCCAGTCCCCCCACCCTATCCCGGGTTCCAACCCAACGAAAAAATCCGTGGTTTAGTTCGCCCGCTCGGTAAGGTTGGAACTTGGAACTTGGATTTTTGAACTGGTGGGTGCTGAAATACGGACCTGAGTTCGAGTCCCGACGGAACTAGATGAATGGAAAAACTAAATGGTTCTGAATTTGTAGAATTACTAGAGAGAGAGAGAAAAAAAAAAAGAGAGGAAATCGACGGATAGGAAGGACGGGGAACAGCAACCGATCATCGAGAAGTCGGATAGGACGGGGCAGAAACAGGTCATCGAGGACGACTTACCGTAGCAACCAGAGGGTCCTGCTCAGAGAGCGAAACGAATGGATGAGAGGCGTAGTAGCTGCAGGTAGAAGTACCACCCCCGGGAAGGGAGAAATGAAGGGGGCCACGCTGTGCTCCCGGCAAATTTTCTGCTGATGTCGATCAGACCGCTCTCCGACTTGGTCTCGAGTGAAACGTCGGCGTTCCCGGGTCTCGTGTTGTCCATGCTCTGAGCATCAAGCACCAGCAGACGATTTCAGGCACAGTATCTTTGAGGAGCGAGGAGCGAGGAGCGAGGAGGTGGTCTGCGCATGTACATCGTCAGATAGATCTTGGACGCGTCTGCTCTCCTTAAGGTGCCAGACGTCCGATGGCGCTGACGGCTCCTTACGGAGTTAGACGCGAGTAGCTATAGCTGCGGAATGGCAGGGCGGGGACCTGTCGGGCCGCAGCTCCAGCGCTCAACGGCCCACACGACGCAGGTCGTGTCAACGGTAGCAGGCCATTGCTGTTGGGAACGAATCGCGCCACAATCACGCGAACATGCAAACCACAACACGGAAAAAAGAAACACCAGCAGAAGGAGACGTTTTTTTTTTTTTTCCTCATCGAAACTCTCGCCATCATCCGAAATAAAAAGGAGCCCCACACCAATTTTTAGATATGCCACCATCGCTCAAAAATTGATAGAAAAGCTGACAGACATGTAAAAGTTTCAAACGTAAAGGTACTAAAGGGCGATTGACAAGAAGGAAGAGAGAGGTGGGGAGGTGGTCCTCTCCTCTCCTCTCCTCTCCTCTCCTCTCCTCTCTTGGGTCTGCACCACATCCCACAGCTTTTCGATCCGTCATTTGCCTCAAAATCGAGAGCAGCCTTCGCCAAGTCACAGAAGACCAGCGTTTTCTTTTCTTTTTTTTTTTTTTTTTTTTGGACCACGGATCAGATATTAAACTGATCAGAACAGATACATTGCACTTGATCTTACTTTGCCAAAAGGACGAGAAAGGTATAAGACAAGCGCATGCATTAAAAGCACACCCTCACAAAAAAAAAACCACCCACACCAGGGGGGAAACACTGATGTGCTGTCTTTTCTTTTCTCGTTTGGAACACGCGAGTAAGATGCAAAGTTGCAAACAGACACAGCAAAACCATTCCAACATCACCATTTGACCAAAAAAAAAAAAAAAAAAAAAAACAATCCATCCGGTCTCTTGTGCCCATACAACCTGCTTTATTTATTTATTTTTTCTTTTTGAATCACCCAAGCGCCTTTCATTCGGGGGGGGTGTCAGTCCGGTGGCTTATCACCGGCAAGCATGACTACAAGGAAAAAGAACCAAAAGAAACTGCATTTGGTTTTGCTGTTGTCTTTTTTTTTCTTTTTTTTTTTCTTTTTTTTTTGTCAGGAAAAAGTAAAGAATCCATTATCGAAGTACAAGAGTCTGAGGCTGGAAATCCTCACAAACAACCCGGAATGACCAGGATCATACTGGCCACTTCTCCCAGCTTCGGTTTAACCAATGAGTACTTTTTTTTTTCCCTCTCTTTTTCTGTGTGCACACTAAAGACTATCCTAAAAGCACACTAAGCCCACTTTCAAAAACTCTTTAGCGGACTGAAAACCTGCGTAGCACGGCGAACGTGTTCGCGCGATCACGTGAACAGCTCGCAAACATGGTCAAAAGAACATATATTTTTTTTCGTCGAAAATAATAAAAAAAAACTTTTTTTTTCTTCGTTTTTTTATTTTTAACTCACATATGGCTAAGAATTTGGGCATGACTCCAAAGCAAAACTTGCTTGTATTGTGGTTTTACATGACATATATTTTTTTCAGATTTTCTGAAACTCTTTTTTTTTTTTTAATATTCTTCTCTGTTCGCGTTCGGAGGGTTTTGGGCGCTAGTTCACGTTCGGGCGAACACGTTCGGGTTCGCCTCCGAATGCCAACACGGTGCTACGCAGCTGAAAACTTTCACAACGTTCAACAAGCAAACAAACAAAAAAATACGAAGTTAAACAACTTTGAACAAACGAACAAGCCAAAAAAGGTTTAACCATCAAACAAGCAAACAAAATTTAACAAACACGCATACAAAAAGGTTTAACCATCAAACAAGCAAACAAAACTTAACAAACACGCATTCACAGCCCATGTCGCTGAAAGAATACAGGCAAGCAAAATAACAGTTTGTGAGCAGATCATCAGTTCGAATCGTGATGAAATCAGATGGATACACCAACGTTAGGGGCACACACACACACAC